ACATGATAATTCTTTCATCGAGCATTCTAACTTCTTTTAACAAATCGATTGTGGGCGCGAAAAGAGACCTAATTCGAAAGGGTTGATAGAATTGGCATTATCCTACCTAGCTCAAGTTTCATTCAACCATCGGGTCCCATACCGACCTTGGGTTTCTATGGCATGGAGACAGAAGGCCCAAGTATTTACTTGGGAGAGAATTAATGCCGCAGTCGACCCATTTACCTAGCCGGATGACCTCCAATTCACAACCTACTCCTACCAAATTTATCCATATTTATCCCAAAACTTGAGCCAATTTCAAAACAACAAGGAACAACCACAAGCTGGGTCTCAAAGGGTCACAGAAGATTAAAGTGTTATCAGCATATCGGAAAGGACGGCACCTACAATTAGTGGTAGGCTTCTTTAGTTGGCAGCCATTAACAATTGGTCAAGGGACTTAGCTACTAGAGCAAACAGAAAAAATGGACAAAGGATCACCCACCCTACCTGATCTCTTATAATGCTTTATAGAAGCTTTTTGTCCTTTCATTGATGAGACCCGAGAAATGGATTCTTGAGAGGCACCCAATTTTCACATTTGCCACCTAGTCCCAAAATCCATTAAGCTCTGAACTTTTAATAAATATTGCCGATCAACCCTATCATAAGTCTTTTCTAGGTCATCCTTGCAAATAATCCATGGTATTATTCTTCGGCTGATTAGTACGATAGCCCTGTTGTCCATTAAGGACACTATCCAAGAGTTGCAGGTCTTTAAAGCTGATTATGACCTTGAAATTACAATACGTAGGATTCATTATCAGTGTGAGACCAACACTTTTGTTACAATTTTATGATGCAACTTCTTACAGTCTTGCCCATTTTGAGATATTTTCGTTATGTATATTTCGATTTCAGCAGATTTAAAATATTTCTCTCTTTTTTATCATGAGACCTACCTATTTTCAGCGATATTCTTCCTTAAAGGATATTTCGGAATATTTTGAGGATCTTGGGAATATTCCTAAGCTAGATCATGGTCTGGCTATGGATTATGGTCCAATGTTCTTATGGTATATTGGATACTGTGCTTTAGGGTTACGGGTTGAAGGTTTCTGGGAATTCCCTTAGCCAAAATTCACGTGGGGTGTTTACAAGTGGGAAGTTGTTTTAAGCTGCCATTTTGTTTTTGGGTATCTCAGTGGTTTCAAACATAAGATGGAGTTTTGCGATAGTGAATCCCTTAGCCATCCAGCCAAAGCCAGAATCATACATGTTAGAGATACTCAAAATTTTTTTCAAAATCTTCGATTCAATATGACCAAGGATAACATGAATATTTCATTTAACATGACCTCATGAGTTTCATTGTGGTTCATAGACAATGGCGGAGCGTGTTCAAGACTTTGACAAGAGCTCCACAGCTCTGCAACATTACTTTAAAGGGGAAGGTTTTGGTGCATCAGGCCCATGCACCTATTCTGGTGCATCTGCCTTCCAAAATCTATCTTATACATCGTGATTTATGATCCAAAGTTTCACCAGATGTATCATTGCAACCACTACGATCATGAACCTAAAAGTAATAAACTTTAATACTTAGAGACAGTCCATCTAGAACATTTTTTCTTGGCTTTTATTCATTTCTTCACTTTTTTTTTTTTTTTTGCACTAGGAAAACGAGGATCCATTGCGTAAATGCATTTGCAGTGAGATATAATACTACTGTGTCTTTTTATATTGATCAAATAATATTGTCTTGTTATTTGGTTGATTTCATGCTTCCCTTACTTTGATATAGAAACTTTCATTAAAAATTATTGTTATCGTTGAAGACTTATTATACGCCATATTCATAAGGTGGTGGCGTCACATAACTAAACCGAATGATTCATGACTTTGCTTATTTTATTATTTTTTTGAACTGCAACAGGTACATATTTGTTTGACGGATGCAGTTCCTATAAGGCCTAATAAATAAGGGAAAAGTTTATATAGAGCCTAGTATCTAAACAATCAAATTAGAACCTACCTCAAAAACTTCACTAGAAGAGGTTGTTTTGATGCTCAAATATCATCAACTTGATCATCTTGACATCAAAATGCAAGGACATGAGAACAAAATGGATTTCAAGTTTAGGAAATAGTGCATTTTGTAACGCATTTTTGGACCGTTAATTTTTAAGATTTTCAAGTTTTCATAGATATGCTATATATACACTATTTTTTAAGCTTTAAATTTTATAATTAAAGATGAAAATATATTTTAAGGCTATCACAAAAAATTTCAGTATGAAAACCATATTTCTGGATACTATTTGAAGGTGGGCTCTTATTTGATTGTTTAGAGCCTCAGCTCTATACAAGCCGCACCAAATAAATAAATAAATAAATAAGGGTGCGGTTTGTATAGAGCCTAGGCTCTAAACAATCAAATTAGAGCCTACTTTCAAATAGTGTCAAGAAATATGGTTTCAATACTGCAAATATTTGTGATAGCCTTAAAATATACTTTTATCTTTATTGATAAAGTTTAAAGCTTCAAAAATAGTGTAGATCGATAGATATATGAAAACATGAAAATTTGACAGTTCAAAAATGCGTTAGAAAATATACTATTTCCAAAACTTGAAATCCATTTTTTCTCATGTCCATGCATCTTGATAAAGTCAAATTTTATTGTTTAGAGCCTTGACTCTACATAAACTTTTCCCAATAAAATAAAGTCTCACCTAAAAATCTTTTCAAAAAAATACTTTCGGCATGAGAAATCCTTTAAGTGGCCCTAAAATCTATTTCCACCACCAATTATGAAATTTGTAGCTCAAAAATGGTGCTGATCTTATGAATCCATGGCAACTTGAAAATGGACGGTCTCTATAATGCGTTACATTATATATTATTTTTAGAGCTTGAAATCTTTTTTTTTTCCAACCATAATGATCAAAATCGAGATGATCAATATAAATGTTTTTTATTTCAAAACTATAATTTTGAATGAGTTTTGAGGTAAGATTTTATTTTTTTAGAAAGCCTCAGTCTCATTTTCACGTGTTAATAAGTGTTCCACATTATATTTAAAAATACATATAACAATTATAATGATTATAATGAGTTGCTTAAAAATGGTTGCGGGTGTCTCATTTCTCTAACCGAAGTTTGCGAAAAAAAAATTCTTGGACTTTAAGCTGGATCAATAGCATATTCCCGATTATTTGATTTCTTATTGGACTGTTACATGAAATTGTGGTATTCTTGTACAAACTATAAATAGTTTTATTTTATACTTTTCTTAGAGCAACATTAGAAATCATCATGAAACTATACCTCTAAAAACTTATTCAATATATTCATTAAATAAAATTTGCATTTATGATATGAAGTTGGAAAAGATTCATGCTAATGTAAATGAAAATGACATTCGACTTACCACCAAATACTCATTACTTTAAAGAACCACTTAAATTTTGCTGACCAAACCTCCAATGATTAAAAAAAATAATAATTTGTGGGCAGAAAGGGCGATGCTTGATACTAAATAGGTTCTATTTTAAATTTTCTAATTGAAATTTTTTTTTATTTTTTTATTTGGAGTGGCTAGATTGGATGAATATATGTAGAAAAATTTAAAACCTATCTTATACCACATTTAAAATAAAAATAAAAAATTAACACGAAACACTAGCCATTGGCTCTCTCCTCCCCTCCAGGCGGTCCCGCCTGCATTTTTAATTGGAATAAAAAAAAAAAAAAGCAAAAAAGACAAAACTCCCATGCCCATCCATCTTTGGTCACATGTTAGGTTAAATGAAGTTAAAAGATTTCATGTTCCTGAGGGGTCATACTATCCATTTACTCCTTCAGGCAAAGCTCAAACTACAGGCTTAAAAAAGCTATGGCTCAATTAAAAAGAAACTGTCCAATTTAGAGGGATGAGATTTAAATGTTAAAGAGCCCCAAAATTCTTTTTCTTTTTTTTAGGTGAAGTTTTATAAAGCTTAGGCTTTGTGAAAACAAAATAAACCTCACCTTAAATCCTTGTCTGGAAAGTACATTTGGCAACATCACTTTTATAATGGCTCTAAAATCAATTTTCAACACCAACAATAAAGTTTGAAACTAAAAAAATGTTATAGATGTCATGGATCTTTAAATACTTATTTTTAGGGTCAAATGAACACTCTAAATAATTTGTTATAACATACATCATTTATAGAACTTGAAATCCTAATTTTTTTTCACAACCATAATTTTCAAGTCAAGATGATCATTTTAAAGATCTTCCGATGCTTGAAATGTAATTTTCAATGAGTCATGAGATGAGGCTTTAGTTATTTCATAGGCCGCAGCCCTATGAAATTATTTATTTTAAATATAATAATCTAGTGATTTTTAAGGTGGTTTATAGGAAGGGTGCGGTTGGCATAGGGATGCATCCGTAGCTATAGAGGTAAGCTGTACCTTCAAATTTTATCGTGGTATATAATTTTGATGTAAAATGATCTTAGGATTATCTCAAAATCTATTTTTATATCTAATCTTAAAATTTTAAATTTCAAAAATAGTTAAAATCAAGTAGATCTATAAACATATAAAAATCTTGAAAATGGTCGGTGTAGATAATATGTTATAAAATGTACTATTTCTAAGACTTAAAATCTTTTTTTCATGGTTCTAAGAATCCGGATCAAAAAAGATTTATCCTAGGTAGTCTTTGCCTGGGGCACTAAATATATTAGTAAGAGATAATAAATAAATAAATAAATGATTGAAATATGACCTTTTTAATAAATAAATGATTGAAATATGACCTTTTTGAAATTATAGGCCTCAGGTTCAATAATACCAATGCCTTGGACTTCCTTGGACCTTGTTATGATGAAAATGAAAGGTCCTTTTGATCATTTAAAGAAATCAGAGGGGGCATTCTTGTCATATTGTCCAAAACAGACCTGCCCCTGGTGTTGCCTTCTCAGTTCCTACTTGAAACAATAATCCAGTAAAATATGACAAAGAAAAAACTCTCAATAATTCATCAAATTTCATTAATACCTCTGACACTCAAAACAATAAGAGTCCATAGAGTGCATTTTAGCAATTTATAGAAGATCAGTGGTATTTTGGTGGCCTAACCTTTATATAAAGTAGTGTGCAGAGTTCTCAATTTACACATGGGGACAAACATGACTCTCTTTCAGGGGAAGTGGATCAAGGTCAGCTCTCTCTCTCTCTCTCTCTCTCTCTCTCTCTCTCTCTCTCTCTCTCTCT